TTTATTAATATGTTACTAGTTTTTATCCTATTGCTCTTTTCTTGTGTCCTCTTTTTCTTTGGGTTTGTTTTTCTTTTTGTTGACATGCAAATTTTAGTGATTCTTCCATGAGCATCTATTGGTAGTAAACTCCTTGCATTTGTATGTGTGAAAATGTATATATTTTGTCCCTAATCTTGAATTGATTTTTTTAACTGACTTTAGAATTCTAGAATGACAGTTATTTACCCTTAACACTTGGAAGCTATCTTTTATTATCTGTTGTTGCTGATACATCAGTCGATTTGTCAGTCTTTGTAAGTAAACTCTCTCTCTAGTTTCACATTTAATTTTACTCATCTTGTTTGGAAATTACCACTTTCCAGTCTAAAAACTCATGCCTTTCTTAAGTTGTAAAAAAGTGTAACCATTATCTTTTCAAAATACTGCTTTTCTACCTTCCTCTGTTTTCTAACTCTCACTGACAGGTCATGGAACATTGCCTGAAACAGGTAATACTTGATCAGAATCTTAAAACATAAATAGGACTTAGTGAGTTATAGGACATTCCAGGCAGAGGGAACAACTTGTAGGAAGGCTTTGAAGTGAGCAGAACACATTCAGTATACTATATTAAGCCTACTTGAAATACATGGAGAATATGAAGAAATGATTAGGGAACAAATGAACCTAGAAAGAAATCTGGGCTTTGAAGGAAAAAAAAACCAAAAACATGAGAGGCCTTTATTGTAAAAAGGCCTAGAGCAATCATTCTCATATTAAAGATAAGAAAGATGTCTTCATATTTAGTTTTTATAATGGTTACTCCAGCAGCAGTGTAGAGAACGGCTTGGAAGTGGAGCAGAACTAGAGGTAGGGAGACCAGTTAGGAGGCTATTACACTATCTCAAGGGCAGGAAGATGGTACCTATTCAGTTTAGTTCTCTGTACTTGCCAATTATCAGGCTGGTGGAAAATTCTGTTTCATGTTTTAGTTTAATTAATGTGTTTAACTACAAATGAAGCTGGCATGTTCCTTTGTTTATTGGCCTTTTGTATTTGTGAATTGTCCATTAGTATATACGTTTTGCCCAATAGTATATAAGATTATCTCTTTTGTTAGTTTTTCTTTTTTTAATTGACTAATCTACTCTACACCCACCATTCTATCTATCTATCTGTATATATATGTGTATAGATATAGATATTATGTATAAAAAACAAACTCACTGTCATCGAGTTATTTTTCTGACTCATAGCGACCTCTCCTTGGGTTTCCAAGGCAGTATCTCTACAGCAATAGATTGCTCAATCTTCCTTCTGAGGAGTGCTGGTGGGTTTGAACCACCAGCCTTCTGGTTAGCAGTCAAATGCTTTAGGCACTATGCCATAT